CCCTTCCCTCCTCTTTCCTTTCCCTTCCCTCCTCTTTCCTTTCCTTTCTTCCCTTCCCTTCCTTTCCCTTCCTTTCCCTCATGTCTTTCCTTTCCTTTCTTCCCTTCCTTTCCCTTCCCTCATGTCTTTCCTTTCCTTTCTTCCCTTCCTTTCCCTTCCCTCATGTCTTTCCTTTCCTTTCTTCCCTTCCTTTCCTTTCCCTTCCCTTTCTTTTCCTCCCTCCCCTCTCCTCCTGCCACTCTGAACCAAGAATTTGTGCAGATGGGGACACTCACCTCCCCATTACAAAAGCAGTAGATAATTGCAATGAAAAATCCCTAAGAAGAAGGAAAAAAAAGGAGTAAAATTGATTTCTTTGATTGATTTCATGAATAGTTTTCAGGCTACAGTTTGGAGGCCTCTTATGGCTGACCCAATCCACAACGGGCTGGGTGACTTAATATAGAGATAGTCCTTGACTTACAACGGTTCATTTATTGACTCCTCAGTTACAACATCACTCAAAAAAGGGACATATGACTGTGTTTCACACATTGCAGCATCCTCATGGTCAAATGATCATGAATTCAGATGTTTGGCAACTGACTCGTACTTATGACAGTCGCACTGTCTCCTGGGTTATGTGATCCCCTTTTGCGACCTTCTGACGAGCAAAGCCTAATTGGAGAAGCCAGATTCGCTTAACAACTGTATGGCTAACTTGATGACTGCAGTGATTCACTTAACAACTGTGGCCAGAAAGGTCATAAAATGGGGCAAAACCTTTTCCAGGGGAATTATGGGATGCTGCTAAGATTGAGCAGATGGTCCACAACAGTGAAAGTGCATAAAATCTGATTTGACTTCAGAGAGGGATAATAGTTAATAATGGACATTAAAATTTAAGAATTAATTTAATATTAAATTCAATAAAAGCTATGATAATTAGGTTTAAATTTTTAACTTTCTATTTGATATTGTTAATAATTGAATTCTCCATAACTCTTGTGAAGCGTCTATTCTAGCTTGCAAAGGTCCAACCCGAAGCCTCTCAGCTGGGTGGGGATTATGGGAGTTGAAGTCCAAGCCATGGACAGACCCCATGGCTGGAAAAATCACTTCGTTGCATTTTCACCCCTTTCCTAAACCCTAAACTGAAGAACTAAATCCTAAACTGAAGAACTAAATCCCTTCTGAAGAACTAAATCCCTTCTGAAGAACTAAATCCCTTCTGAAGACGGGACAGAGATTGGGCGAACCTGGAACGAGTTAAACAGCATTTCATAGTGCATCTGAATTTGCCAGGGGATTCCGGAAATCTCCGTGTACGGCATAGCCATAAAGACGATATAATGGACCCCGAATAATGGCATGAGGACCAGGGTGGATTTCAACAGTTTCCTGCAGAGAAGGAGACGAAGAGGAAAGATGATAAATAATAATAGATAGAGGAGAATCTTTGTAGCTCAGGGTTGAATTGAGGGGGTCCTTGGTGTTCTCTGAGCTGGGTGGTTTCCTTGCAGACGTCTCATGACCGAACTAGGTAACATCATCCATGCTAGAAGGGAGTGGGGTTTGCAGAGAAGAGGAAGGGGAGGACGAGGAGAGGAAAAAGAAAAGGAGGAGAAGGAGTTCCGGTTTGCTTGGCAACATCATGTTTCACTTAATGACTACAGAAACCCAGGTGTTTCACTGGTGTCAAATCAGCTGGTTTAACAAGGGAAATTCCATCTCCAACGGCAGTCATAACTCAAGGACCGCTCGTAAAGTCCCTTGTTCGCTCGCTCGCCCTCCTCTGCAAGAGAAGACCTGGAAACCCCAAACGGTGCAGGACGTGGCACATCGTCCCCACCAGGGTGAGGCTGGCAGAGGAAAAAAAAGAAAGAAAGAAAAGGATGAGTTTTTCAAACTGGCACAGCTTATTTTCGAAGTTCAGGGAGGTGGGGAGGAGAAG